AGCGCAAGGCAGCGGAAGGGCAAGGCCCTTCCGCTGCCTTGCGCTCGCCCCCCGCCCCCCGCCAGCCCAGCACCGTTGGAGGAGCTGCGGCTCTCCCAGTCTTTCGTGCCTTCCTTTATGTTCTGCTTTTACATTAATCCGCCTTCACCAGTGTAGGCGACACGAAAGTGGCGCCGTGACTGCCGCTCCCACTTCGGCCGCAGCAGGACCGGTAGCGCCCGCCCCAACAACAGCAGTTCGGGGAGTCCCCCAACAAGCTGTCGGTTGCGCCTTCTTGGCATATTACCTTCCACTACTTAGCGCCAGTATTTCCCCGCGGGAGTAGCACACCCAGGAAAAGGAGAAGCGGGAGGCAGAGCAGGAGCAACCTCGACAGCATCACCGGCAACTGCAGACGATGGCCTAGAGATGGTATCTCACCTCCAATTTGCAGATATGCACACGCGGGCGCCTGCTTTTCATTGGCGGGGGGGGTTGATGTTCCAGAGTCTGCCTACAGATAGCCCAGGAGCCTTCACTTGGCCTTCGTAGGTTGCGTATAAGCAAATGCAAACGTTGTATAAGGTATTCAGAGGCGAAGCATGCAACAAAAGAAGCACCGTTGAAGCTTCCTTAGGTGCACACGTGAGGCTGGCCCGTATCACCAGCCTCAGCGTTGTGCTCTGCAAACCCACTTCAGGCTGCCTCTTCCCCGCAACAGCCAGGCCTGACCACAACGCCCAGTAAGCCTGGGGTCAGGAAAAGGATGTCAGCTATGGCTCTTTATCTTTACTGCAGCTGGCATTTCTCCTTGATTAGGGCAAGAGAGCAGCCATGTGATCGTTTGCTATAGCGTCCTGTTGCTAATCTGTTACACATCTGTCGGAAAATCACCATGTTGAGTGTTCTATTCATAATATTTCCTTTAAATAAAGAATATAACTTGGCGATACAGCCTAGTGCTCACGCACTACTTCTCCTGGAAGTGTGGTAGCTAACGCTCATAACGTATTCAAGCAGAATTGCCCACAGTACTGAATGAGGAGTAATAAGAAGTGTAGTTTACAGGCTAACCTTAATATTTTGGAGTTAGTTGTTAAGCGGAAGTGCGAGCATCTAGGGGGACAGCCAGCTATCGTCCCCCTCGCGGGGACCGGCCCCAACCAGCTATTACGCCGGTTGTATAAGCAACACACGTGACAGAACTATTTTTCGTGTGAGGATTTTGGAGACGCAGAGTAGCACTGCTTCGTTCGGCTGCTCCCGTATTTCCACCATTGTGCAAAACCTCCCTTGGCAGTGCTGATGTAATTTTTTGGGGTTCAGAAGGATATCTCCAGGTTAGCTAGAGAGAAAGCACTATGAGATTATAGAATTCCACTGAAATACTTTCCAACGATCTGACCCAAATTACTCAGGCATACTGACACGATATATCGCAGATTTCGTATATAACCCAGCAAAGGAGTTGTATGAATGATTTGAACCAACTGATGAGAAAGAATCCGATCAAAAAGTTATTGGAGAAAATAATTGTTCAAAAATATGAGAAACAAAGTCCTGGGATCCTGCTAGTCGCCATACCGCTGGGCATACGGAGGAAATTCTGAGGTCGGTCTCCTGTCCCCGAGGTGTGAGCGTCTCTGGTTGCGGTATGCATTCACTGTGTGGGTATCTCCAGCTCAAGGTACCGTGTGATGGCCTGCTACAAGATGATCGCGCTACTCTGTTACACTTCTGTCGGAAAATCTTAAAACGAATATTATGTCGATGATCTACATTTCAAGACTAAAGAATATAACGGAACGAATACATTGTAGTGCTCAAGCACTACAGCTGTTCCCGTTCGAGAACATCTGAGGCCAGAGACACTTACTTCTGTCAACCGCGCCTTCGTCTAGCCACACCCGCTGAATGGCATCAAACATAGTAGTTTGTAAACAAAAGTAATTATGTTGGCCTAATCACGGTTTCCATGATCCGATAGTCAGCTACCGAACCCCACTGGTGCAGGCGCACTAGAGTAGAGAAGTTCTATTATATCATCTTGTATTTTCGTTTCTCTTCGTATATGATAATTCGCATTTCTCAATTAGGAGCACGCTTAAGTCAAGTATAAGCTTGTCGTTAGAATTATTCACACAGCTAACAGAGTCGTATGGACCCTGGAGGCCTGCCTGCCTGAAGCCGCAGCCGACTGATTGCGGCGGCCCAAGGCGGTGCCGTGAGCCGACCCCAGGGGTCCCAAAGGGGGGTTACCGAAGTTGGCTCCAATCCAAAGACCAGAAAGTTATTCTCGTACTTTCGTAGACTTCACTTACGTGAGTGAACTTGTTTTCGTGCATGTTTTCATCATTTCGGTACATTCCGGAGCTCTACTTTCTATCTAGGCCATTCTCCGCCTCAGACGTGCTCATGTCATACACGGGCGTTAATTGGTGTGCACGTGATCTAAATGCCTACTCCTTCGCTCAAGCATTATTGGTTTAAAAAGTTTTGGTGTATTGTTTTAAAAATATATAGTTTATCTTTTCAGGAGGAAGTATATCTTACTATTTCCATGCGCTGTTGAACCCCAGGGCCTACGCCCACGGCGCCACAGAAGCGCAGCAAGGACAAGCGGCAGCCTACCATTGTAACGCGCCCACTCATGCCTTCTTAAACGTGTCTCAAGTTGGTACAATTATCAAAAACTTTTTTGATTTCAGTCTCTGGATGGTAGCGTTAACCGCTGCAGTGACTGCCGGCCCGAGTGGAAGGAGCAGAGCCACTGCACAAGTGGCAGTGTAGTGCATGGGCACTACATTGCTCAACAGTCACAGTGACGTATAGGGTGCGTCGCTTTAGAAAATAGAGGTCTTAGGATTCCGCTAAACGAGGCATAATTAGAATTTAGTAATTTTAATAGGGATATGATAGTAATAGGGGATAGATGTCTAATGCCAAGCCGATGTCAAGCTACCGTCGCACCCGGTTCGGGTTGGCCGACCTGCTCGCACTGGCGAGGGAAACAGATACTGTAGAGAGANGGATTTTCCTTGAAACCAACATCTACTTCACGTTATTCTGGTAATTTCTGTGTAGATCTACTGACATAGATTTCAAGTGGGTATCGTAGGCACAGTATACGGCCACTGTGCATTACAGGCAGCCCTTGGCAGGGTGTTGAAACTAAGCTCAAACCCAGTTCAAAATGCTCAATCTGTTGCAGATTTTACAGACTAAACACACTAAAGGAACTCTATATCGACACCAATGCATTTACTGGGACAATCAGGCGGTGAGCTAGCTGGCTGCGGTCCCCTGCACAACACGGCTGACCACCTGCGCGAGCGCTAGTCGATGCGGTCACCAGCCAGGGCAACGACCCTCCTGGGCCGTTCATATTCACGTTTGTTTGTTTTTTGTGTACTTTTTCTAATAGTTGATGATGGCACCCCTAGCTTTGGTATCATTTACTGGTCTGTCTCTGCTCGTCGGGCAGGTGACAGCTCAGGCGGCAGCTCAGCCAGAAGCAAGTAAGTGACCTTCCAGTCTGTTGAGTTTGCATCCCTCACGCACCGGTTTGAAGTGATTATTTCGTCAAAGGCTTATATTCCGGAGATCCTTCTTTAACCGGTGGTCTCATTTTGCTGTGTGTGATGTCTGCGTAGCCTCTCTGCAATGCCTGACCCAAATGAACGAGGCCAGGGCTGCCGCCGGTCTACCGGACCTTAAGGAGAGTGAGGACTTGCTGCCTATTACGGGGGAACCGGGCCGGCAAGGTCAAGGCGAGAGCGATTTTTGGTCGAAGCTTTGCGCAAAAGTCGTTGCGGTACGACATACTGCCTTCCGCTTCACCAGTCGTATCGGTATAGTACGGTACTCGGCAAAGGGCTGCCTGCGGGCACAATCTACGCATGCTTGTCTGCATATATGCTACATTCGCCTTTGTGCTTTCATTACTGTGTTCAGACTCCTGCTGTACTGGCATCTTCTGAAGGTACTCTTCCAAAGGGCACATACGCGTATTTCGCAACAGTAGAAAGTGAAGGTGATTGCGCCGCTGCAGTGGAATATTGGAAAGGAGGCTTCAGTCTGTTTGAAGAAAAGCTGCCAGAGAAGTACAGCCAGTCCGAGCCCAAGGTATATGCTAATGCTAAAGCAGTCTCTTTTGTTGCTCTTTTCAATCCGAAGCCCGACCCAACCGTCAGCTGCGCTTTCGTCAAGTGCCCTGCTACAACTACTACAACAACAAAAACTCCAGAGGAGGAGGAGCCTACAGAACCTTCGGGTGGTAGTAGCGGTGGTAACGGTGATCACGGTAGTAACGGTGGTAACGGTGGTGGAGGTGGAGGGAGGCGGCTCGCGCAACCAGAGGCGACAAGCACTTTTAATGCCATTGTTTGCATTACCTCCCCAGAGGCATTGCTAGACGACCAAGCTCCATTCAGGTGAGCGCCCAGCAAACAAACTGTGCAAAGCATTTATTTCAATATTCCGGAGCTGTCCAGCAAGGCCATCCCTTGCAGGTTTATTTAGCTGTTTATTGCCCACATTTGTGCTCTGCCATTTGCGTTCACCTGTTGCGGTTCAGTCAGGAAGTATGGGATAAGATTGCAGCAGCATTGTCGAGTGGGATTTCTTCTGCCCTACCCGCTGTCCTCCTTGCACTTTCCGCAGTTTCCCTCTCCGCATCTCTATCCATTTGATTTGTTTGCCGTATGCGGCCTGAAAGTGGTGCCACATGAATACAGCTCAGTATCAATAAACGGTGCTTTGGTTACCTTGGGCTTCCCTCGTTTCAAAGGGTTCTTTGACGACAGCCTCCTAGCAAACTGTTTCTTTTTTTACTCCACTAGTCTAGTGACTATGGATCTCCCACTGGCTGATTCTCACTCGAGCGTCGCTGATGGCTACCTAGGAGCACGGGGCGAAACTTTAGGACCGAGATGAGGAATCCTTAGTGCTAAGGAATATTTTGCACATTCCTTAGCACAAAGGATTCCCCATATATTTCCTAAAGTCTCGCCCCATGGGCCCATGTTGACTTGCTCCCCTGCACCACCTTTGCAGACACGTAGTGGAGCAAAGCAACGAGACCGTTTTTAGCAGGCGATTTTTTCTAAACAGATCGCCGATCGAGAAAGAGCGAAAATGTACCACGCTAATTTGAGCTGAAACACAGGTGAAAGGGATTGTGGGGAGTTTCATTAGTAGTATGTTTAACAAGCTAAATCAGCTCCAGCTAAGCGCTGCGAGAATATGCACAAACGTCGTATTATGGCGCCGCCTCCAGGTTGACAACCGCCCACATGCACTTCGCTTCAATCCAGGTAATTGTTGTGAGCACTCCTACGTTATCGCAACAATCTCTCAGCCCAAATGTTGAGGGTCTGGGTGCATTCCTGCTCGCAGACATGACCTGAAACAGCTACCTCCGTGACCCACAACGCACCTTGCTACAACCAGTGCTGCAAGGCGATCCAATGTGCTAGCACAGCCAAGCTCCGCCTTTGCTTCATGCGTCGCACAAACTCTCTAGACGATTGTTGATCACTCACTTGACTGGTAGCAGTCAGCCTGCACCCAAGTAGATACTTACACCAGTTTCACACATGACGCGCTACACCAGCTGACCCCGCGAAGGGATCTACAATTAAATATTAAATCCATAGATTATCGAATTTCCCTGTCGGCTTCCGTCAACAGAAGGTATTCGACACGTAGAAGGAAACAACTGCTGTCGGCTTCCGTCAAAAGAAGGTATTCGAGATGTAGAAGGAAACAACTGCCTGCCTTCCTCCATATTGTGACGATAATTATGAGTAATATTCGAGGGTCGTCGTGCGTTGCAGTAGAGTTAGGTATCATATAAGGGTTTATAAAAGCAGTTGATCTCCTGTTCAATTCCCATGTTCCCTGGGTAGAGAGAGGCCCAAGTGCTTCCGGAGGGGGGAGCGGAGACGTAGCACCTGTTGCAGTACGTGCATTGCAACATCTCGAAGTCCTCCTCCACCTCACATGCAAGCACAGTAAAGCACTCTTTGTTATATGCCCCAAAACTATAGGCAATGATTAAACACTTCCTTGGCGTCAGTAAACAGCGCACACCCAAGTTGCTGTATATGCGTCAACTTTTGACAAACCGTGGTGTCGCACGAGCCCCAGTTCCGTAGACCGCAGGACCCATGACATCTAGAGACTTGAGGGGAAATCGACCGATTTTTGGAAACTCGTATCCAATGTATTTTTTGGTGTATTCGACCTCACGACGGTTCTCGCGGACAATCGGGGACTCCTTACAGATAGTTTAATAAGACTCCTCGGTCTTATCCAGAGAGCGTCCCTAGCTGCAACGCACCCAAAAGGAGTACAGTTGACCTCCTTCCTCTGTCTCCAGGCGCCCTGGGCGTAGCATCCCAGGGCCTGGGACTGCCGGAGACGCGGCGGCCTGACACGTGTTGCAGCGCACCTCGCAGCAACTACTGATGCGAGAAAGTCTCGCACGCAAGCGCAACCAAACCTTCTCTGCTGTAAACTATGAAGGCAATTGCTGAGTACATATATTTGCTTGCAGAATATGCTACAGACAAACTACACCGCTGCCTTGGGAGCTTTGGGTCGGCGATATCCTGCCAGATCACAGGAATCCTTAACAATTCTCAAAAGAGTCGAACACATCAGTTCATGCTTTTGGCTTCACCCACACGTTGCTAGCCGCGAGGGCGCGAGCACTGCTAGCATTAATGTGCATTGTAGCCTGAGTTAGCGCAGAGTTAGCTCAGGAGCCTTTCGACGGTTTTGGCATGCTGCGTGTAAGCGCCCGCAACCGTCCTACAAGTTCGTTCAGAGGCAAAGCATGCAGCAAAGGAAGCTTCCCTGAGGCTTCCTTTCGTGCACGCGTGGGGCTGGCTTGCACTGCCAGCCGCAGCGGGATGCGCTGCAACCCCATTTCTGGCTGCCTCCTCCCCGCGACACCCTGGCCCTGAGCAACGCCCAGTATGCCTAGGTACCGGGGAAGCAGGTCAGCTGTTTTTGGGAAACTCTTGCTTTAAGTCTTTGCCTTCATTAAGGCTCGTCTCAGGTCAGATAAAGGCCAGAGAACAAGCGTTACACATAGTACATTACATGCCTATACCACGCTATTACGCGCATATCCACGAACTTATTGTGTGCCGTTTTTAGGCGTTACAACTTTCGGTATAAAGGCTTGCGCAAATGCGATGAGATTGTACTATCTCAGGATGCTTTATGCATTAAGTGTTTGCATACACTGCGCATGCACGCCAGGGACTGGCGTAGGAGGCTGCCCCGCCAGCCCCCTCCCCAACGTGGGCCAATGCGCATGTGTAACATTCAGGGAAGGGGTCGTGTGAATGGCGAAAAAGTAGGATTTCGGTTTGTATCTTCGAGGATTTCTCCGAATTTTGTGAGGATTTTACGAAGATGCAGATTTTTGTGAAGACGCTGACGGGAAAAACGATTACCCTTGATGTGGAGCCTTCTGACACGATCGAAAATGTGAAGGCCAAAATCCAGGACAAAGAGGGTATTCCGCCTGACCAGCAGCGCCTTATCTTTGCTGGGAAACAGCTTGATGACGGCAGAACTCTCTCCGATTACAACATTCAGAAGGAAAGCACTCTTCACTTGGTAAGGCAATCCCCACGGCGTGCCGCACCCGCGGACGCCTAACGGGTTGTTGAGAAGTGGGGCTCCCTTGTCTGCCATCTCTTCCTACTTTGTCCATATCGTACTTTAAATACATTTCTTCACCCCTAGCGGCAGCGGAGTTGCAGGACTCTCCACAATAGCTGCGCGGGACAGCGCTAAGCTGGTATTCTTTGTGAGGCAACTTTTAGCGTACAGATGCATGCGCATACCACACCAACCTTGATAATTAATATGGAAGATAGGTTGCATGACAGAGAGTCAGCCGTCGTTGTTGATATTCTCTTTGAAGAGCTGTACGTAATCAGATGAGCGCTCCGGCGGTTAGGTGACCGTGGCTTTCGTGAAGCTATGGGGAATATATGGTTCGTGCATTGAAACAGTTTGAACTTTAGGGTACCTGGCATGACGGTCTTTCTGCTTCGTTGACAGGGAAATACCACAGGGTCTTTCTGCTTCCTTGACGGGCAAATGTCACCGTTCTTTTCATTATTGACTGTTGCCGTCGATGCTGTCCATGCGATGAGCCCTGCGGTGGGATCGTTGCTGTTGCCAGCTTGTCTGCTTACTGTTGTTCGTTCTTCAGGTACTTCGTCTGCGTGGCGGCATCATCGAGCCCTCCTTGGCGCTATTGGCATCCAAGTATAACTGCGAGAAAAAAATCTGCCGGAAGTGCTATGCTCGCCTTCCTCCGCGGGCGACCAACTGCCGCAAGAAGAAGTGCGGCCACACCAGCCAGCTGAGACCCAAGAAGAAGCCCAAGAGCTGAGACAGTCAGACTGTCGGCCAGGCATCGAAACGAACGTAGAGTACCCCTTCAAGTGCAGCAGTTTCCCTTAAAGGCCTGCTAGAGCAACTATCAGAGTTCGACCCCGTTTGTAGTCAGTTAACGCTGCGGAGGGGTGACAGCGGGTGGCCTGCCTGGCAAGCATCCCACCTGCCAACGGATTTTTATCCGGGACTCCAACGGGTAGATGGGCTACGAAACAGTGTAGCTCGTTCTGTCTGTAGTTGATGGCTCGCTACTCAGCTGCCTTGAGTAGAACTACCGGCGAACTGCCACGTGCAACCCACACAGCCACACCGTAGTCTAGTCTAAATGAGTAGATGCACAAAGTACATCGAGTTTATTCTTCACGGTCAGAGGCTCAGGCGAGTGCAGACCACCGTTAACCGCCGCTGCAGTAGCCTGGAACGGTTGAGGTTTGCGTAGCTTGTCGTTCAGCTCTTGCAAGTGCGCTATGCAACCTCTCGGTAGTTTACAAGGGGCTTGCTGAGACCATGCCCAAGGGGCCGGGTTTAGGCGGGCCCAAGGACACCGGAGTCGCCAGGAATCGATTGGCTGTTTCCGTTTGGTGCTGCAGTTGTCACCGTAATGGCGACTACTTCCTGCAACCCTGGCGAAAGTCGGCAAAAGCTAGTTCCCATGCTGTATGTCCAACGGTGCTTGATTAGCCCGTGGCCTACGCTCCAGGGATGCGAAGCCATATCTCCAGCAGCACACTGCGCCGCCGTCGTCGTTCGCATGTTAATGTGATATAAACGAAAACAAGAAGCTCCTCGTACGACAGAGGGTACGCACTGTGGGTATGAATCGAGTCAACCGAAGAAAGTCCTATTGTGCCCTCGGGCGAAATATGTTGTTCCTCCCTGCGAGTGGAAAGCCGTAACGACGGCGTCGTCGAAACCACCCTCAAGTGTTGACCGCCATGCTGTAACAAACAACAACGGTGACGAAACCCAGCGTGGCTATCCGTCGTATGCCCAAGGGTACCTGAACGACGCAAGGTTGGAAGCGTCAACAGAAACTCGAGTAATAATTCGTGGCGGTCTACGCAAGCTCAATACAAAACCGGCGAACAAAGTGCCGCAGCACAAAGTCTAGTTTGCCCGTTTAGGTGCCATACTTGCCTTTGTAGAAACCAAGCAGTTGCTTCCTTTACCGCGTAGTTGGGCACCAGCCGTTTTGGATCACATGGCTCTCTGCAGACGACCAGAACAGGAAATGCCACAAAACCCACTTGTTACCTCGCCTTTAATGAATTTTTTAGATAACTTGAGAGCTTCCCTCTCATGAGCAGTTAAAAAACTGCCTTGACAGATAAGTTATCTACAGAAGTCATTTTACACTCTTAGAAGGCGTTCGGAAAGATGACAAATAGCTCGCCTGGTCAAAGGATCCGTAGGTCCGTTGCGGTTCAAGTGATCCAGAAGAAGCTTGTGTTCGTAGGTGATGCCACTGGGTGTCACGACTGGCTCATCCATCAGCCCCTGCAGGGCACACAACAGAACACACGGAGCATTCCCTGCTGTAGAGCGCTCGTTACACGGAACACCGGGGGAACATGCAAAGAATGAACGATTTCACAATGAAATGTAGTCCACTCATAAGCTGTAACAATCAGAATACATCACTTATGAATAAAACCAACATTTTCTTCCTAGAGGAAAGTGCGGGCAGTACCATAGATATTTTGCACGTTAGGAAGTCGGGTGTTTCAAAAGGTGCATCAGCCTCAGCGGCCTCGGCTACGAGATGTTCTAGCTGCGCCAACCGACCGTCAACTTCTTCTCTGGGGAGACGTCTCTGCTGTGCCGCCACCTCGATGCATTCCTGCAGAAATACGCAATAGGACAATCCCGGAACAATGCACATAGTCGTGGGCTGGTATATACACACATCCAACCAAAACGCCACCGTACCTTCAGAAACTCCTCAAGATCCTTCCTGTCCACTGATCTTTGCCTCCTCCAGCGTGCATTTCTAAGTTTCTTAGCTGAAACGCAACAACCGACAATTGAGGAAAACTTTTCACACTCCAAACACAACCTCCCGCGCTTCCACTGCCTGTTCAGTTTCTTATAGGCTGTTTCGTCCATTCGCCTTCATTTTCACAGAAGGTCTACTTGCCGTTTAGAAGAGAGTGGCGAATCTCATTGGCTGCTCGCCCAGCCTGCGAAGAAGATGCTGTCTGTGCCTTCTCCAGCAGATTGACTCCCGCGTCATAGTCCCCTGCGGCAGCAAACAACAGCACGAAGTTGTGATGTGTCTACATTGCAAGCCTGCTATATCCGAAGAGGAGACGTATGCGCCCCATGCTGGTAAACTACTGCGCTGTCCGTTCAGTTGCTTGGAGCACAAAAGAAACAAAATGTTCAACGAAAGCATTACCCAGCTGCACAAGCGCATCGCCCTTGATGTAGAGACCCTTTACGTTAGCTTCCTCAAGGGCAAGAGCTGCCTCGGCATCTTCTAGCGCCTCTGGATATCGCTTTTCGCGTTTATGGCAGAGCGCTCTGTTTGTAAAGTAAGATGCGACGGTGGCATCCACCTCGATGGCTTTTGAATAGTACTCTGCTGCCAAGCCGTACATGCCTCGCCTAAAACTTTCATTGCCTAGGTCTTTTAATCGGTCTGCTGCTTCCCGGTCCCGCACCTGGGAGCGCTTTGCTGGGTCCTGAGAATCGCGAGGGGCACTGACACCCTTTGGCGAGCTGCTGCTGCTGCCGGTCCTCCCCCCCGCTGGCACATTGCTGCTGCTGCCAGTCTTGTTGGCTTGGCCCGGCTGATCTACATTCCTGTGTCGGGCTTGCGTCTCACTGCTCGGCTCACACCGGGAACCTTGCATTGCACTCGTATCCCCCGAAGAGGCAGACGTTGCGGCGGTTCTCTCGCTGGAGCGAGAAGACCTGAAAGCATTTCCTCCGCTTCGGCCAGGGACCCCTCCAGAGTTGCTGCTACGACTGTTTGGCCGGTTCGAGCCGAAGTTGCTAGTACTACTGCTAGCACTGCTCGTCCTGGTACTCCTGGTGCCCCCCCCTGCCGCCTCAAGGACGGAATTCAATGCCGCTTGGAAAAACGACTCCATGAGGGTCCCTGCACCGAAACCGCCTAGCACGTCACCAACGTCTCAACCGAAAGTACCACCAAATATCTTCTGGCGTCAACAGCCCATGTGAAGGTTGCTTTTCACGTGAACCCGATCAATGTACTCCGAATGCTGAGAACGGTATATCTACAGCAACAAGGAAGGGACCCATGAGAAAAGCATGCTTTTCACGTAGACTGGAGCTGACATATCTACCGTAGGAAAAATGGAGAGAATATGCCTTGGAAGCGGGCGTTCCTGGAGCGAGCAACGCTTAAAACTGTCCACGGACTGAGTGGCATCTGCGTTGTCCCCATCCTGCTAAAGCAGATTCTTCAGCGGGTCATCTCGAGATATGCGGCAGATCAAATGAAAATGCTAAGTATAGTTCGCGCTCGCAACTAACTGGAGTGCAGTAATCCACCGTCACTTATCATCGCCGAGCATGCCGGAGCCCCAGCCAGAGTTTCGCCGGATTTTGTCCAGGACGAACTGAACCACGACAGCACTAATAATATTCATTAGCTGGATGTTCTTGGCAAAAGTATGTGGGCAGCTCTTGAAATGGCCAGTTAAAATCGACCCTTTATTTTGCCCAGGTTTTCCGCGGCCTGCATGCGTTGCAATCGTGCTCCGATCGTACGAAATGGCGGCTGCGCGGTGCGTGCATACGGGAATGAGAATTACGAGGAATACTACATTTTGGACTTGACTGAAAAATGCTATACTAACAGCTGCATCTCGGAGAAACGACTGATCCACCGTCAATTGGCATTGGAAGTTCCTACAACGCCACTTGTTCCTTTTGCGGCGTTACACTTGTCTGCATCTCAATTAACGGACATCTACTTCTACCTGAGAACGATACTAGATCTGGAACCTGTTTCGTAGCTTGTTCGGTGGTCGGCTTCGCCTCGGAGCAAGGTGGGAGCTGGTCGCGGATGTCAAAGTTTATTGCGGCTGGAGGTAAACAGATTCCCATACAAAAGTTTATTGCAGTTTATTGCGGAGGGCCTCCCTCGCCTCTAGATGCTTTTGGCCGCGCGGGCGACCCTTAAGGCAGTGGAACAGCGGCCACAACTGTCTGCGAAAAGTGTGTAACAGCACCATATCAGTAGCAGAATGACGGCACCAAATATAGTCCACCAAATGACAAGGGACCCAGAAGAAAGAGTAAAATGCAGCTTCGCAACGCCACGCGTCTTACGGACGGTGCAGGGGGGGCTTTGGAGGACTTCGCTGTTTCCCCACTTCACTGTTGTCATGCCAGCCCCAAAAGCTGTTTCATAGTCCGAATCGCACGTGCACGTTACGGTTCCGCTACCCTTCCCGGGCGAAAAAGTGCAAGTACCCTCACCACATGGATTGGCCGCCGGATTTGTGCACGGGTTGTTATGCGTTTCGCAGTTACTCCCGGTAAAGAAGTCACCGCAGTCACACTTGTAAAACGGCTCTGTATTTGTGTCTTGGCAGGTTCCCAAAGAACAGAGGGCGCTGCTGCAGTCAATCCCTGTGCTGGGTTTTATCCCGCATCCGTCAGTGCACATCGATATGGTGTCTTCACACAAGGCGCCCGAATACGGCTTGTCGCAAACACATATCTGTAGCCCTCCATTCTCATAGCAGGTGCCGTTGACGCACAAGTTGACAGTGCAAAGTGCTGCAGCTGCAAATAATGCTCCCAAACCGGATGCTAGTGTTCCATCTTTCCGCCATATTGCCTCTGTGTGCCCCATCCCCTTGTGAGCGTCCTGCTGTTGGGGCGACGGAATGAGACAGACGAAGAGGGAAATGACCAAGAGGGAGGTTCGCGGGGTGTTCCGGAAGCCATGAAACTTTAGACCTACGCGAAACATTACAGAGGAGCACATCAACAAGGCGAAAATGCAAGGCGCTGCTGTTACTTCCGTTCAGTTGGCTGGAAAAATATAGGTATCTGTGAAGGCGAGAAAGGGCCTGCCTTACTGGGATAGCGTGTACGAAATATCGTCTCCATCATGTAGCGACAGCACCGCTTTCACTGCTGCAGGGGGACCTGCATATGTCGTGGGAATTAAGGCCTCCAGTCCCAAAGCGGTCGCAGAAATGGTTGGAGGCTGCGGTCTGGAGACAGACTTGGACGGAACCCACCCGAGGGACGAAGAAGTCCTGGGTAGGGGATCGACCACAACTGGGCTGGGCAAATGGCGGTTATTGTTGGAGCTGAGTTTCGTGGCCCAAGGGGACAATGGGCAAGTTGAAACAGCAGGAGCAAGGTATCTGAGGCTGCATGCCCCCGAATGCTCAGGATCCCCAACGAGGTACTAAACCTCTAATTTAGTGAAATCGATCCCATATCCTTGGGCAACAATGGGGAGCAAGTTGGATGCTTGTTGGTGTCCCTTGCACAGGAGAGGACCCACCGCAGGACCACCCCGCGGTGTCTTAGGCTTTTCGTCGAATCGCTGGGGCAGACAAAACAAGAATTCGTGAGATTAGAGTAAATGGATTCTTTTTTCCACCGTGTCATCCCACGAAACCTCACTGGGGTGCAGGCGATACCGCTGGGCTCGGCGACCGTGTACGTTACGATGAGTGTGAAGCGGGCACCAACGCAGGCGCTCCAGCTGTGACAATTTTCAGGCACGCTTAGTATATCCCTATACCCTATCAAGCGTTTAATTGGGAAGCAGGTAAATTGCATTTGTGCCTGTATGAGGCAACTCAGTGGCAGCTGCCGACACGAGGCGTTTGCATGCCGAATCGAGCACCGGTGAGAGCGGCGCTCATTAGCAGTAGCGTTTGTAACATTCGGCATTCATTTTCCCTTCCTTCTCATTAGTTCCTTCATAACTTCATCAAAGGTATTATGCCCATCAGTTTTCCGGCTCACGTATTTAGCACAGCAACCGGTCCCCACTTCCTTAAGGCTAGGAGGCAGAGCTAGCCAGCGGCTAAGACCAAAATGTGGGAGAAGCAACCGTTAAAACAAACAAACACAAGATAAGGGGAGTCATTCGTTTGAAGAGACCTGCAGGTGGATTAGAAGGAGGCCTGGGGGACGCTCAGTTTAATAGGCCATACATTTGGGGCTATTGAAAAAGCGGGAGCTGTAATGCAACACTTCGGTGCCTCCAGTAGTGTTAGGGTTCCAGAATCGCAGGGATATTAACGACAGTCAGATACACTTCGCCTGTCTGCACCAACTTGTGGATAACATCTTCAGCGGACTCACGAGAAAGCGAACGATAAATTAGCCGTTTGGAAGCCACTATCGGCGAAAATGGCCTGGATACTTCGTGCAGAATTCGAGTACTTGTTATGCCTCACATCCGAGAGGTTGGATGTGGCGAAGTCGCGCGCACTGCTGCATGCATCTCTAGACGCTCGGCTGCTTCTAACAGACGACCCCTTGTACACAGCGTACATTGATGCAGGGAAGGTTGCACTCAAGAACTACCTAGGAGAGGGAAAGGACAGACAGGGGCTGGGATGGCAGAGCCGCACGTTTCAGGCCGCCATGATGGCGTGCATTTGCGACGACGTTAATTTGGCCCATGTGTTCAACGTATTAAGGGTGGAGGAACTCTTGGAGAACCTTGGGGACGAGTTGTCGCCGAGTCAGTGCGCCAAAGTAATGCTTGCTATAATCGGTAAGCTCCTACATTTGTTTTGCCTAGTGTAGATTGATGCTGCATTCCGAGGAAGTGGAAAACGCAGAACAAACAGCGCAGCTGGAAGTTTAAACTAAAAGGTAAGCTACAGCCGATGACTGTGCTGCGGGGACTTAGCACAAGTCTTTCAGTAGGCTGCGCGGTCTTCATGGCTGTACGGTGGTGCGTCTCTCAGGCGAATTACACCTTGTGCGACGCGACATGCAAGCAGCAGCCAGCACCGACTCTCCGGAGTTTCTTGAGTTTAAGGATAAGAGCGGCAAATTCCTCCGAAAGGCTCTACAACTGCTTTTGTCTCTCATTTCTGAAAGTGGCAGAGACAGGTTCTGTTATGTAAAAGAAGCCTTAATTCACCCCGACGCCACTTGCGCACGTCCAGCCCCTGTAACGACCCTTAACTTTAGTAAGTGTGGGCTCAACAAGCTGCTTCTCTGCTTATCCGTCCCACTAAGCCTCCGTATGCTGATTTTGATCGGAAGAGAAGTAGGAAAAGGCTAGGGTTCCTTCTCTCCTACGGAGAAGAAGAGTACAGGGCTGAACATGTGATATGTTCAGAGGGATCATCTTTCTTTGACTGGCCAATCCGGCTCATCGCTGGCATACCGTTGCATTGTCTTTAGTAATTTACTTCTGTCGCCCTTCTGCGGTGCTACATTTGTTGCAGCTTCGCCAGCCGACGCAGCATTGGCAAAGGCATGGAGGGGACGGGAACCGTTTCAGCTGGCGCAAGTCTTACGGGCTGACTTGGACGCTAGTGCTTTATACACATCTTCTATGTATGCCCTCTATAAAAGAGGAGATGCAATGTTTGAGACGCTTTTGCACAGCGGGAGCCTCCTTTCTCTGTGGCATCGGCTTCACGCCATCTGCAAGCGTCAGGCGGCACTCGGTCACGAAGTAATCAAATGGAGTATTGTGCGACAGGCTCCTCGGCTCAACAGGTAGGCATTCGCTTGAAGTTGCCCTTTACCTAAAGCTCCTTGGCCTCAGCTTGCGGTGATGCCTGGGAGAAAAGAAAGTGTTTTGGGGTCAGTGTGCGTCTTTTACGGATGATTAATTGACAGGACGTCTTACAGACGAGTGGATGACTGTTCATTTAAATCTCCTCGTACTAGAGGGGTGTGAGGGGAGTTAACGCTCGACCCCTGCAGCTTTTTGTATTTACGAAGGGGGCGCCAGTCTATGGTAGTTTTGAGTGCATCAGAGTTGTGTTCTGTCGGTCTTCGCAGACTCCGGCAGTTGATTCTGACGCGCCTTATCCAATGCCTTTATCAACCACAGTATAAGCAGCCTCTAGGCGGCCCTGCGACTGCCAGTGAAAAAGCGGGCAACGACGACGAAAGGGTTCTGGCAGGGCTTATTGCAGAAAGCCTCATTCTTTCTGGTGAATCTTCAAACGTGTATTTTTGCACATTTGTGGGTTGAAAGGTGTATGCTGCCGATATTGTATCTCGTTAGCAGAAGCCTACACCCTTTTCAGGGGGCAAAAGCACCACCACCCATGGTGTACAAGCAAGAGGATTTCTTGGATCATCCTAAACCGAATGTTGCACAATGTCAAAGAACTTCTTCTCAATGCTTTAACACTTAACTAGTGTATGCCCTTATGGCAACAAAAATGCTTTCAAAAGCTTAAGTGTTTGATCGTCATGTGCCCTGGGAGGTTCAGCACATAAAGACAGTATGATAACGCGTTGGACCTTTCAGGATGTCCATATGCGCGTGCTCTGATTGTGTTTTGGTATGCGTGTATTCAGGAGTGAAGGTTTGGTGCTATGAGAGCAAGACTCAAAAGCAACAAATATTGCAAATGGCAGGTAAAGGCGGAGCGTCGCTTTCATCCAAGCTGGATTCACTCTTGTGCATCCAGATCGACAGAGGGTGAGCTGTGCGGCGAAGAAAGAGCTGCGGACGCTGCGTGCTGCTTGCTTAGTGCAATAGTGACACAGCAAAAACACTGGAAGAGATTAGTGCGAGCCTCGAGGCACTTTTCCACTACATAGTTGCAGTAGTAGTACAGGTAGTTTCACATGGGCTGTTGTCCACTGAGACGAAATAAAGGTTTGGAACGTGACTATTGGGTACCATTTATCGGTCCGTAGATCTATACAGTGATGCACACCTATTTAGCAGCAGCAACAGAGACTGCTGTGGACATGCATGCACATACGAGTGTGGTTGTAAATTGGGAGATGCGCAGGTCGAAGTCCGACACATACAGTTCTATCCGTACATACAGTTCAATCACGTGTATGAGATCTCCTGAATAGAATCATATCTTTTGATTCCTGAATATTTGGTCGTTCAGGTTCGTGGAGTTGCCTTTGGGGCAGGAGCTGCCTGACCTCGATGGCCTAGCGAGTTTGTTTGCTGAAGCTCCTGGGAACGAACCTGTGGATTCCTACGAAAGCATGCAGTACACCGACATGAACCTTTACACTCTCGTCCCCGACACGTACACTTCAGGTACCTGCTTTAAGATATTTGAACCATTCTGTTCCTCGTTTAAACAAAAGGCACCGGTTTCGTTGCAGCAACGTTCACTGGCACTAACTAGTTTGGCCTGCAGCCCATGACGCAGCAGACAAGTTCTTGCCTGCTCAAACTTTGCTTGCATTATTGCCCATGGGCACATGGGATTCCGTAGTACTTCATGCTTGTTTTGATGACATTTCAACGTTGCGCTTCCTGCAGGGATTCGCGCTCCTAACTGGCCATCCACATCTTACCTTATTGGCTCTCGCCTGCACCGGGCTACGCCTAATTTGGGGGTGCTGGACGAGTCGCGTTTCTTCACAAACCCGATGGTTACCGCCCTTCTAAACAAAACTGCCCTCGAAGAAACAATCAACGCGTTTATTTCCTCAGAAGCTTTCGAAACTGTCTGACCCCATCCGCGAGGACAGCATTGCCTCTGTGGTCGTGACCCTACACTCCATCACGTATGAACTTTAACGGGACAGTGCACAGCAATGCACTGCCAATTGGACTGTGCGCCAATGCGTCTGTCGTGCAACTGGTGTTTGTCAGTCAAATCGTATTTCGCTTCTTACTGCCTTTGGAATTTGTGCCGAGCACGTCACAGACTGCCAACGGTAGATTCAGGATTGAAAGTGTCTTGCTCGTTCCAGATATTTGTGCCCGTGTCACAAACGCGCCCTTCTGGAGCGGGTGCCCCCTCATTGATGTGCTTATTATGCGTATTAATCCCCAAAGCTCCTTGCCACAGACGCTTTGTCGGCGTATTCGATGCATATGCAGTATCTCGTGTGCATATTTTCTGCCCTCAGCGCAGAATAAGCCTGGGTAGTTCACAGGGAACTGAAACATTCTTTCGCTTCGGCTCATCGCTACTGACTTTGCAAAGACAAGTGCTGAGTAAGCAACAGTGACCTGGATGCAGGTTTGGACTCAGCGAATGAGATATTAGGTTTTTGAGCTCTATTATTGGCCACAGGCTTGCCTTAACCCTTCATCGATCTGCACGCATACGGCAAAATGCCTTCATCTGGTCTCGGCTACGAGGCGTTTGATACGTTCGATACTCTTTGTGTCAAACTACTTCGGAATGGCTTTAATTAAATGCAGTGGCAGATACAATTTCCGCTGTTGGGCCATTTCGCGTTGAGTGCCACTCAGGAGATCTGTAAATGATTCAAGCATCTGGTGAAACCCCTGCGGCCGGAGCAAAAATACTGTTTTCGGAGTTTGGAAAGAAACCTTTTTAGCCTCATTTTAGCAGTAAAGCAACATCAGATATATTGTGGTGCCGCTGTTACTGCTGCTGCTGAACTTCCTGCGTAGCCAACGATATCCCACTCCAGCCGGATTTGACCCAGCGAAGCCGAACCCACTGGTGCTGTTAAGCAACCAGAGGTACCTTCCCTTCGGCTAGACGCTGCTGCAGCGTTTGCTGCTGTTGCAGTTGCTGGGTGTGGCCGCGCTCGCCATCGCTTTCCTGTCCTTCGTCTTCACTTTTTATAGTTGAGAGTCTCTGGGGCAGCGCGGCAGCCCGTTCGTCAGAGTACGGCGTTGGGCAATTGCACTGTGCTGCCGCGGCAACTTTCGCAGCTCGACGTTGCTTCTCGCAGTCGTCATCTATTGCGTTGCGCTCCTGTTGCTGGCCAGTGGAGCTTGAGAAGCCTTGGATGTGGGAGGAACTCGCGGAAAACTGCAGTCGCAGAGCAGACATCGCAAAACGAAAGCTGAAAGGCGCATTCCTTAGAGCAAGCCTCAATTTACGACGCCTTCTCATCAGTGTTGCTTCTTCTGCTACTGCTTCGGTGTTGCAGTTGTGGGATGACTTGCACTTTGCTGAATGCAGGGGGTGTCTTCTCCGTTGGGCCGGTGAAGAGGGCTCTTTCCTAGTCTGTAAGAAGCCGGAGCTGACCCAGTTATTCCGCTAGGGAGCTGCAGCTTAGGAAGTTGGTGCTGCTGTTCTCTGTGTTGCTGGTGCAGCTGCTGCTGGTGTTGAGTGTCCACGCCGCACAGACCTTCCTTCTCCGGAAGCGCAACGAGGCCTTCTGTTTGATCCCGTGCCAGTTGGGCCAGAAGGCCTTCTAGCTGCCTGTGCTGGCTTAGCTGTTGTTGCTGGCGTTGCTGCTCCATCTGCTGCTCTGCTTGCTGTTGCTGCGGCTGCAGTGTCAGGGCTGCCATTCGGCTTTGCACTTCCCTGAGGCTGTAATTACCGAAGGGCGATACGACAGGTGCCGCCTCCGTGTTGGACCTTTCAACCTGGAGCGCCCAAGGGGCTTCTTTATGCTGAAGCTGTTCATCCTGATGCTGCTTCTGCTGATGTCTAAACAGTTCGACAGCTTGTAACAATTCGCGGCCTTGCCGGGACAACGAGTGCTGCTGCAGCTGTTGCATCATCTGCGGTTGCTGCTGTGGCTGCTGCTGTCGCTGAAGTCCCTCAGGAGAGGGTGGCTTGAGGCTTTGCTCTGCCTTTCGTACAGCTGCAGCAGCAGCGAGAGAAGCGAAAGAGTAGCAATCGTCTCCTGTCGCAGTGCTGGCTGTGCTTCGAGACACTGCTTGGCCCCATGGGTTTAGCTCCCTGTATGCGTAGCCTGGCGCTGCAGCTGTCGTTGCAGCAACTGCCGCTTCATCAGCACTACCTGCGGCTGGACGCTGCCACCCGTGTTGCAAGACCGCCTCGGCAAAAGCTTGCTGACCACCAGGAAGCCTCCGCTGCTGCTGCAAGAGCAACCTCTGCTGCATTAACTGCTGGCGTGAGACAATTTCTTCAAGTTCACTCTGTTGCTGTTGCTGCTGCTGCTCTGGTGCTTCCATTGCTGCAGACGGTATCTGCATAGTGGCGGGCGCTTCACTCCACGAATCAACGGACTGTAGCTGCTGCAGGAGCTGCTCCCCGGCCTGCTGTTGCTGATACTGTTGCTGCTGCTGCTTTGTTGCTAGGGCTCTAAGGGATAGTGCCGGCACCTTTGAAGTAGGTAGGCGGAATTGGAGGGACCCTGGGGAACGAGCAGCCTGAAATGCAGCAGCAAGCAGTAGAATAGGAGACCCTTCGTCACAACCGTGTAGCGGAAACAAGCGTTGCTCCATATTCTAGTGGGGATTCGCTCAGTATGTATGGCAAACAAGAAGGAGACGCACCGTCCCTACATCGTGCTGCGGAAGATGCTCCTTCTGTTCATTCGGCTGCTGTGGCACACGCGCAGTGGTCAAAGCTGTCTGAAATTGGGGCAAGCTGTCCTGTTTCTGCTGTGAATACTGCTGAGAGTGCAGGTCCGGGGCAAAACATCGCTGCTGCAGATCCTGTATCTGGCGTTTCAGAGCCTGTTGTTGCTGCTGCTGCTGCGGATGGTGAAACACCTGGGTTCTTTGTGGGTCTTGTGACGGCATGACAGCCTTCCCAGCAGCTTCAGCCTCTAGCAGCATTAACAGCTGCTGGTGTTCCACCATGTGTTGCTGCTGCTGCCGGGTAAGCTTGCCTTGAGCTTGTTGCATAGCCAGCTGCTGTAGCAATAAGAAATCCTGGGGCAGGCTATTTTCGGGAAGGAGACCCGGCAACTGTTGTTGCTGCTGCTGTTCACGTTGATTCATCAAGAACTGTTGTTGCTTCTGTGGCTGCTCATGCAACGGCTGAGCAAAGACGTACCCGACCTCCAGCTCCCCAAGGGCATGTGCATATTTGCAACTGGAGCCGTGCAGACACTTGCCTTGAGCAGGAACAGCACACAGACTGGAGTCGAATCCTGAATCTGAAGGGCTCATGGAAAAGGGTTTATTTGTACATGGAATCATAGAACGCAGCGTTCACAGTGCTGGACTTCCTCCTCTCACGGGTAACTGCTCTTTCGAGCAACTACAGAGATAAACGGGCACAATTGCTGGCACACAGGTACGTCCTACAGCTGAAAGGCTAGTCTGAGGCTGCACCTCCGACCGAAATTACCGACGCATTTTCCGGTCCTGGAAGATGAGCAAAACCTCATGGAGAGGGCATGCTTATTCGTGAGCAGTTTACGGCGACTGACCTTCCCTGTAAAGTCTGCAGAGGCCTTTCTTCCCCGGGAAGTCCCTCAACTCCTGCAGACCGTGGGCATACGAGCAGTTATTGTTGCTGCACTGTCCTCCAAGAAATGCGTTGCAGAGCTTTGTCTTTCTCAAGTCAGGCAGCTGCCGGAGTTCCTCCGCAGAGTGTGCAAAAGAGCAGTTGTTGCCACGAGTGCACTTCCCGCGAGCGTGGAACACACACCAAGCAGCCTTGTACACCCTAAAAAAGCAGAGGCGGTAGCAAAAGAGCAAGTGAGTGTTCCAGAGTGCTGTGAATGCTCCTGCTCATGCTGAAACAGCAAGAGAACACTGATGTACTAGGCCGTCAGCCATCCTGAACGTCGCTTTCAACCGCGCGGGGGAGGCTCCCGATTTATTGCCTAATTTTGCATCAGAAGGCATTCAATCTGCCAAGTAAAGACCTACTGCATTTTCTGTGAAGGAGACGTTGGCGAAAGGATAAATGAATTGTTGGTGTTTCGGCGGCAGACGAATGGGTGGCGTACTGGAGAGGATTCCTCGAGGGCAAGTGATGGCCTGGAAACACTCCCTCCCCCAAGCTGAGGCCTTACCGCTCCAAAAATGCGCTGTATGCATGCGCAGTTGATTATTTACCTTCTTGAAGCCGCACAAACCCTGCGGCGGCTGCTAGGGCGCTGGCTTGACAGTGCAGCCGTCCTCCGACCCTAAAAGCGAATATTTGAACTAAACAACTCAAGAAACAAAATGAGCCACCAAACTTTGCAGGCACTTGGCGGTCGCCAGCAAAAATATTTCAATCTGTTTCTTGCATAAACTCGTTAGCCACTCCTGAAACGCTTTAAATACAAAACGGCGACACGGGTCTTCACTGCTCCATGTACTGCTCTGTGGTGGAGTGGCTAGGCCCTTGACCTAGAGATGAAACAACCGAGAGAATAAAACGAGAAGATGTTTTAACGAAAACAGCGTAAGGGAATTCCGGCCTTGGTCTAACACCTGTCAGTAGGGCCTAGTCACGCGCGCGAGGCGCAGAGCCGTTGAACCTCGTGGCGATCTGCAAGAGGAGAGGAAATGATGAAACTATACTTGTGGAAATATATTAAACCCTGTATATAGGGGAAATGGCCAAAAACCTGGGGCGATAGAACCTAAAGTGACCGGCCCCCGAGCAGCGACGCGTCAGCTTTCGCAGCGGTGGCCTACGAGAACCCTGAGAGATAAAAAAAAGTGAAACTATCCCTTTTTGGATTTCAAAACCTCCCAATATACTAAGAGCAACAAACGAAAACAAAAAGAAATAACGACCGCTACTGAGTGCAGCTCACGACTCCTGTCAGTGTGCAACTTGTTGCCGCGCGATGTCACCGTGGAGCGCCGGAGACCCGGTCTTGTCTTTTGCAGGGAGTTCAGCAGATACATTTTACATGGTTACCTAGGTTTCTATGCAAGCTACATATTGATTGTTTATTGCTGTACGCAGGCTTGCAGCCTCCAGTTTTCTTCTAAGAACTTCCCGATTCAACACGGTAACTGGACCCTGATACAATCACGAGCTATCGGGTCACTTGTGTACCGTCATTGCGCTCCGGCAGCCGACGGCAATGAACGTCAAAAGAAATGCTCCTCAGGTACAAATATTGAAGGACATGCACGGAAAAGGAGCAGGGGAGGGACACTTCCTTTCCAGTGACAGGCGTCAACTAAGAAAAGTGTGCAGTCCGTCGTTTAATTGACCCGCGTGAGCTTTGTGCCTTGAACTATACATGATTTCATGCAATACCATTCTTTGTTCTCTAGAACAAAGAATGGCCCCCCCTTACCTCTTTAGGAACTCTCGGCAGCCTCGACACTCATGGGTATTTACTTCGATTTGTTTGACGCGTGATTTTCCGAAACAGCCTTCCTCCAGCCCCAACACCATCCTTAACGAGGGGTTTATTGGTGAAATATGTTACAAACAAGTGGCCACGGCATTTCCAAAAGCGCTTCATATCCCCCACCTGCAATGGATTGTTGCGCAAGCTCTGAGTGCCAACATGTTGTGGGGATGCAGGAGCTACGGAAGCCTTCACACGGAAAACTACATAGATTTCTAGCACAACAAAATAAACAGGCCGCGTTGCACTGCATCTAAAACTGCACACTTCAAGCGAGCAGATGCATGAACGCATCCATTATTCGGTCACCTACACACGCTGCAAACGGCTGCGAACAGGATAAGGAACCCAAGTATATAGCGGCTTCTGCACTATACGTTCCTAACCACAATGACAACGACGATATCGGAAGGTTTAAAGGTGTACCACCGTGAATATGGACACGTGCTAAGTGGAAGAGAATAAGGCCACCGAAAAGTACTGCAGGCATATTCCTTCAGGGCCGATCTGGGAGCAAGCAAAGACCCCTAATCTTAAGCTTCGTGGAGATCATAAGCAAATGCTAGGTGTTGTTATATCCTCTAAAGTGAGGTTCCTTCTACATAGAACTTACGCGCTTGAATTAGACTTACAAATAGAAGCTGGAACACCGTGGGCTGGAGAACGGAACACTTCACGTGCCCGTTGTGCTGATGGTATTCCCTACTCTTGGTTACTGAGAGATAAGCTGGAAAGGCATAGATATTACGAAAAGGATCTGTCTTCAATACGGCCTGCAAATGCAGCGAACCCCTCCCAGCAATAGAGGGCCTGTACAAAACTGCTCGAAACTCTGTACAAGTTCATACCATTTTGAAGGCCAATAAACCGAGAGAAAACAAGAAGATGAGACATTCCACTTATTAACTAGTGACGACTCCCTACACGTGGCTGGTATGGTTTACTGGTTCGACAGTACTTTTGGCCATCGTCATTCCGCCGTGGGCCATTTGGTCTGCAAGCTGTTTCGTGACCAGTCAGGCAGTAGCTCACGCAACTGATTTCTCACAGAGAAAGAAACGCCACTGCCGAAAGGCCGTGATGCAGATGAGAAGCCAAATGACGCTGCACCGTCCCAGTCTGTGGCCCTAAGGGGCAGTATTGTCGGCCAGTTTCGCTTGCACCAAATTGTCGAAAAGCTAATGTACGTCCCAATTATATACGTTCTCCTAAGGTGTGACGCATTTACCATGCTATGAGGTAAGCTGGGCTTTCCTAATGCTGGTGTCCCCCTTAAGAACGCGCTGGCAACCTACCTACCTGTAGCGCAGGTTAAGCAGACGCATTCCAGCTCAATCCGGTAGAATAAATTGGGCATATTTGTGCTACGCAAACTAAAAATGCCGTATGATGTGATTGGTTGTCCCGGCAAGCGTTGCTCAGTTTCGTGCGGTTGGTTCCCTTCTTGCACATTCGTCCAAACCATGGTCACCACTTGACGTTCCGGGTCGAATTAGTGGCAAATATTTTCTGTTCATATAAACCGGAAAAGATGCCTATTCAAATGTCAGACATGAATAAAGTTGATTGTTCCGGATTGCTGTTACTTAAGAAATGTCGCTGCAGCTCAAGTGGTGACTGGTCCAGCTCGGGCTTCTCGCAGCACAATCATCTTCTGTCCAGACGGACGTCGGGAAGATATCTATCGCTCCAAACAACATTCTTCAAGTAGTCCTTTCTTGCTTTCTTTGATATTTTGTTCATTTGACCAAAGCCTGTGGGCACTTTATGTCTCGCGACACTCGACATCACTGTATGTGGTCCACTCGGCGCACCCTCTCGTCCCATGACTTTGCGGAAAACTACACAGGCAAAAGCTCCGTGTTGGCTTCTAGATCCAGGCTAAATACCGCTTGAGAGTTGACCACTTCCATCTTGAAAAGCAGGGAACACGGGTCCTGGTGGCCGCGGCATGCCCAAGCACATGGTGCAGTGGTTGCGAATGCCCCTTTCTTTCAGCTGGTGTTTCACAACTGCCCTTCTACGAAGCCGTTTGTACTAGTGCTGCTAATGTCTGGGCACTGTAAAGTTGTCCACTAGGGCACAGGGAATTCCATAAGGTCCAGCCCAAACTCAAAGGGCAATTGCGTCAATGGTCGCCCCCCCTACAGCACAAAATGGGGGGGCTCCTTCGCTTCATACTTGCCCAGCGCAGATGGATTCTCTCTGTGACTTCTGCAAAGATTCACGAGCTTGGCCTTCTAGTAGGAAACTAACGAATCAGCCCGAGAGGCAGAGTGCTGTAAAGTACCGGAGGGGGTCTTCACGCTGTCTTCGCTTGCCCACGAAGTCTCATTTACTGCTTATTACTTTCGTGTTACTTATGGCTGCGAAGGCACCACATATTCCTCATCGGAGACATGAAGATTGCCAAACGCCCTCGCCGTCTTGGTGGACAGCCGGAGCAGACCCCCTTCCACCGTTCTACCAGGTGCTAGCATGGCTACCTAATGGCTCTATGAATGAATTTGGCCTTGTATTTGCGTCAGCTGCTCTGTGCGCAGTCAACATATGCAATACTGGCACGTGCTATGAGCATGGGACTGCTCAGGTCTGCGTATGCCCGCTGCCATTTAAAGGTCCCACCTGCGCAGAAAAGGCTTCGCTTTGCGTCGACGATTGCGGCATCCGGACAAACAGCGGTTTGGACTGCCAAAGTGCACTTTGCTCCCTTGGGACGTGTGTAGACACGGACGTGTCCCCGTATTTCAAGTGCGAGTGCGGGGACTTCTTTCAAGGCACGAATTGCGAAGTCCCATCCAACCCGTGCACTGGCGCAGTCAACCCGTGCGGCCAGGGGACCTGCGTCTTCGCTCCAGGGAAAGGCACCGGTACTGTCACTTGTCAGTGCCACGACGACTGGGAAGTCGCTCAGGGTGTCGGAGTGGTCACCACCAAGTGGGGCAACAGCGAGGTGGTAATGAATCCCCCGTGCAGTGTCCGTGTGAGCCGCGGCCTGGCGAATATTCCTTTCACTCTTTCCTCTGGGGAGCTCGTTTTTTGGTGGACAGTGTTTGCTACAGCCCTTTGCTTCTTGCTCTGGTGCTGCTACACAGTTGCAGCCGAGTCATGCGGCAGTTGCTTCAGGAAATTCAAGATAGCCGGGCAAGTACAGAAGGCTGCTGGGGCGTAGGGACCCCCGGGGGAACTGCCGTCATGAGAACAGCGGTATTGTCTCCTCTTTAATCGCCAGGACAAACAAAAACTGGCTATTACGCTGCTACACTGGTAGTGTAGGGACCCTGCTTTGCCGGGCGTGTCCTTTGAATATACAACTATGCAACAAATAGAAGAACAAACCCCCAAATTACTAACTTTTGCTACTGTGCGTCTGCGTTCCCTTCCACGTATACTCACGTCTTTGTACGGAGCATACATTTGTAACTATATTCACTACGAATACACTTCTATACGCATGCCCTACGCAGTCACACTTCAGACTCACACCAGAGGGCGTCCGCTGTTAGCCGATGTGCTGTATGAATGCTGTTGGATCTGGACGTTAAAGCGTTCTGCCCTGCTTCCCTGATCAGCTTGCTGCAGACGCATCAGCAGCTGCTTCGCGTTGGGTTGTTGTGTGCATTCAACTACCCCTTCCGCTTAGCTAGGCTTAATGAGGCTTGTGGCAGTGCGGTGGACACGCATTTAAGGATATATACATCGAGAATTCACGGACACGTAAGTGCATGGATGCATCTGTGCGTCTGTTCGTTTGCGCCTGACTTTACCTCTGTGGTGACCTCCCCTCCTATTTTTAAGGCATAAGGAGTTAGCTTTGGAAGGCTATTTTGAGTTGCTGGCTCACACGTCGCTGCTGCGGCAGCGACTCTTCTGGTTGCTGCTGGCATCGGCCCATATAAGGTATGCCTGATACGCAACTGCATAGCGTCGTGCATCTTTGCTTTCCGAATTTAGCCTGTATTGCAGCACACTATAGTCCACCCAACTGCGTTGGCCTGCGCCGATGTACCTCTCCGATGAGGAGGTCTGCCGCAGCTTGAAGAGCCTGTGGGACGCCCCTCCTCTTGGCAGCAAACCAGACAGGCTGTGACACTCCCCTGATCTTTGCTGCGTAGCTGCGTCGCTTCTCGTTCCAGCTGATATTTTTCGCTATTTCGGCTGCTGCTGCTTCGACGTCTTCTTTAAAGTCTTCTGGGCTCCCCGCGCTTTGCGCCTGGAGTCGGGCTGCTGTTGCAGCCGCCACTGCAGCAGCAGCAGAGCGTACAGAACGGAACTTTCGGTTGCATGCATCGTGCGATGATTTGCTCGGCGTATTGTACGTGCTGCTATTGCTTTTGCTGTTGCTAGAGGCAGCGAGTATGGCCGCTGCTGTCACCCTTCGTGTCTGAGGTTGGTTCTTATCGTCTTGTTGCTTCGCCCGGCATAGTGAGGACACCAGCAACTCTCTGAAGTCTTCGAGAATCAGTGGGGCCGTTTCAAGCGGCAGTGCTGAGGCATCGCTCTCGCGATGCTGGTGGGCGCACTCTTGATCTTCCTGATTGATATTCCATGATTCTGCAGCGGGTCCAGTCGTTGCCCCGCTGCTTCCGACGGTTCTTGAATCCGATTCTGCAACTGAGGTGCGTCTTCCGGTTTCCTCATAGTTTCCTCGCAAGTTACGGCTACTGGCTGCTAGGGGCAGTCGCTGACGTCGTCGCTGCTGCTCGCGCAGCTCCTCTTCCTCACAATCTCCTTCCTGTTTGTATTCTTTGTGCGGCAAAGAAGTCAATTGCACTGACCTTTTCATGAAGGGCGTGCCAGCGCAGCCACCCACGGAGGGTATTTCGGAGTGCTCTGGGCAACCATTGGACTCTCTGGCGCTGCTGTTGCTGCGACGGCAGTTGGAGGGACAGTCAGGAGCAGCTTCTTCAGCATCCGCTGGTTCCATGGACAGTGTATCGGGAGAAGCGGGCAGCCCGGGTTCATCCACCCCTACCGTTGCAGGAGGAGCCCCACAGAATGGTGCTTCAGCTGGGAGGGGGCTCTCCTTTATAAGGCTCAGCGACAGAGCTGCCTCGGTTTCTCTAACTGCTGCTGCAGCTTCCGGGTGTCTAATACGGCTGCGCAGAACACGGCAGCTGCTGCGTGGGGACGCCGTTTGTGGCTTTTGATGCTGATTGCTGGATCCACAGTGCCGGCTGGGGCTTTCTACCTTTTGTGGGAGTAGCCTTGGCTCTTCGTGGGTGGCATTAGCTGCTGGGCAGTGGTGGCCGCTGCTGCTGACGCGGCGGGCACTCCTGAGGCCGCTGCGAGTGCTTCTCGAAGTATATGCAGCAGCGTTCGAAACGCTGCTTTTGCTGTCGTGCAAACCGTCAACAGCTGGAGTGAGAGACACTGTATGCTGCCTTTGCAGAGACACTGTATGCTGCCTTTGCTCAGCGTGAACCGCTCCGGAGTTTGTTCTACCGCTGATAGTAACTGCTTCAGCCCGACACAAAGCTGCTGCAGCAGCAGCTGGTGCAGCAGCTGATGCAGCTAGTGATGCAGCCTGTTGCCTTCTGCATTGTGGCTGGCTCTTCCGCCGATTGATGGAGCCTTCCCAATCACTTCCGCTACTGCAGTATACGCTGACACTGCTGCATTCGTCATTGCTAGGAGAAGAGAAGTTTCCGTTGCGTCTTCTCTCCCTCGTTCGGATGCCCCTCCCTATTCGCAGTTTCCTTCTACTGCTGCCGCTGCTGCTGCTGCTGCTGGACGCTGCATCCACGGCGGCAGCAGCAGCACTTCTTCCTCGCCTTGGTCTGAGAGATATCTGAATCTGCTGCGACTGCTGAAGCCCCTCGTCCCTCTTGTTGCAGCGTGTCGCCAGTGCAGCCGCAGCAGGAGCTGCAGCTGTACCAGAGGCGGCAGCTGCTGCAGGCTTTGCAACGGATTCCTTTTTGCAGTTGCTGCAAAGGGTGCAGGTACAGGCCTCGCCTAGAGTTTCCCGGCAGCAGTATGCAAATATGCGCCGCCGCCTATTTGTCAGCCTTACGGGCAGTCTTCTCCTAGCATTCCTTGCTGCCATCGCTGCTGCTGCTGCTGCTGCCGCTACAAGCAGCCCGTCAGATCCTCCTCCAAACTCTGGATTCGCTGATGACTCTGGATGAACACTTGAAGACAGGAGCAGTACATTGGTTGTTGCTGCAGCAGCAGCTGCTGCTGCGACTTCCGGCGCTGAAATGGCACTATCTAGCAGCGCAGCAGCGGCAGCGGCAGCACCTTCAGCTTCAGCTGATGCCGTTGCGATCTTTGCGTCAAGTGATGTAGTAGCATTACTTTCGTCTGATACTGCTGATTGTCTTTGCGTATCTGTTAGCATTCGGACGGACACTGGTGCGTCTGCCTCCTGTAGTATTGCTGCTTTTGCCTCCATGCCATATCCCCGGTTCAGCGCGGATCCTGCGGTCGGCGAAGTTGCCGCTGCTGGACCTCCTGTTTCTCGTTGAATTGCTGCAGTCCCAGTGACCCCCTGCATTTCATCGATCTCAATATCTGGTGCTCCCGCAGTTTCGACTGCTGCTGCGGAATCTGCTGCCTTGTGGGATCTACACTGCGTTGAGGGGCTTTCGCTCTGCAGCAGCTCTTTGCTGCGTGCAGGAGAAATGGTCAGTGACCAGGCTTTCTCGTCAGCTTCTGCTGCTGTTGCTGCCGTTGCACCTGCCTCCGCTGCTGTAACCGCGGCATTCGCGGCAGCCAGCTCCTGCACCGCAGTTTCTTCTGCGGCAACAGCTGCTGCCGCCCTTTGTCTCGAGGCAGCAACAACAGACCGAGCCCGGGCTACTGCCGTTTCCTTGTTGGCTTTCAATCCGGATACCCTACTGCGGAAAACAGCAGCGACGCCATGAGGCGTCCGTGCAGCAGTGGCGACAATCGTCGCTGCATGGTTCTCGGATTTCTGGGCCAACATACACCTCAACGCTCGCATCCTCCTCGCTTCCTTCAGCCTCTGCTTCGCTAGGCTTTGCCGCTCCTGTGCTTCAGTCAGCCCATTTAGAACTGTTGCTGCAGCATCATCTATTGCTTCAGGTTCCGAAGCAGCTAGACTAGCGCAAATTGCTGTTTCTGCTGCTGCTGCGGCCCCGGGCTCACTTCTCTCTTCCACTTCCGGGCTTGCTTTGCATCGGGTGGTCTCTTTAGCAGAACGATCCTCAACAACACCAGCAGACACAAAGTTCCGCTTCTTCAGCATCCTGTCAACGAAGCTCCTGCTCCCGTAACGCACTCTTTCGCGCCTGAGGCTCCGCTGTTGCAGCAGCTGCCATCTCTGCCTCTGCTGCCTCTGGCTGTAGCGACGACGCTGCTTCTCATCCGGTTCTTGCTGCTGAGACTCCTCTTGTTCGTGCTGTATGCGAGTCGCATCGTGCTGCAGGCACTGCTCATGCACTGCGCACTGGTCCAGATGTTGTCGGAGAGGCTCTTTCTGCTGCGACTCCTTCTGCTGCAAGTATCTCTGCCGCAGCTCAGTTTGCTGCATTTCGTGTTGCTGCTGTCTCAGTTGCTGCGTCGATTGCTCTTGAAAACCTTGAAGCCGTAGATCTTGCTGCAGGTGCAGTTGTTGCACATGCAGCAGTTGTTGCTGTGCGTGCAGCTGCTGCTGTAACTGCAGCTGCTGCTGCAGCTGCGTTTGGTGCATCTGGCCTTCTTCAAGAGCCCCCCTGAATTCCCCTGCTCCCTGGGATGTTTCGTTAGCGATTCCGAGGTCAGGCTGCTGCCGCAGCTGTACTTTCTGCAGGTGATGTAAATGCTGCAGTTGCTGCTGTTGTAACGGCTGGAGATGCGCCTGCTCCAGACGCTGCAATCGTTGTTGCTGCAAGTGCTGGTGCTGCTGCTGCTGCATATGCTGAGGCAATAGGACGGGATACAGAGCCGGGACATGGAGTGGTAGAGGTACCCGTTGCTGCAGTTGCTGGTGCAGTTGTAGCGGTTGAAGCTGGGAAGGCTGAAGGTGGGGGAGCGTATGCTGCTTCCCCCACTGCATTGCCTGCTGCTGTAGGTTCTGTTCCGAGACTCCTTGCTGCAAATTCTGCATTTGCAGTGCTGGATTCTGCAAGGGTAGTTTCTGCAGGGGCTGTTCCAGCCGCTGGTTCGCCTGTAGCGCTACTTGAAAGAGCTGCTGCTCGTACTGCAGCAAGTGTTGCTGCTGCCCCTGAAGGTGTAGGACCTGCTGCTGCTGCATGCGCGATTGCACTATCCTCTGCGGCTGTGTTCCCACTGAAACGTACTGGCTAGAGGAGTCGATATCTCCATTGCTGCCGCACGGCTGCTGCTGCATCTGCTGTCCTTGCATTTGCTGCTGCTGCTGCTGCTGGGGCTGCATTTCCTCCGGCTGATAAGGCTGAAAATGTTCTTTCTTTTGTTGTTGCTGCTGTTCTGCTTGGCCAGTTACGGGGAGAGAGGGGCTGCCTTCTGAGCTGTCCTGCAGGGAGGAAAGGAGCTGCGGCTCCCTCTGAAGCAGGGCTGAGGCAGCTCGCAGCAGTTGGTGACGCCTGCCGCACGCTCTCAGCAGCACTTGGCTGACTGCAACAGCACCAGCACACGGAAACGCATGCAGACTTTCACAACGCTTGTTGAGGTGAGTCAGTAGGAATTGTGTAGTTCTTACTCTGTCCCCAAGTCTTGGCTGATTGTGCAGCAGCGGAATGAAGGCCTTCCGATGCTCCTGCAGCATGTCCTGAAAGGAGACGGCACCTCAGAGAAGCTAGGGCTAAACCCGCTGAGAGGCTGCTCCCTGCAAAAGCCGAAGCAGCAACAAATGCGGCGGGAGGTGCTTGCTGAGCCAACGCAGCAAGCCATCTGCTGCTGCCTGCAATCGCTGCACCTGCTGTTGCTTCCACTTGGCCCGCAGCGTTGGATACAGGGTCTGAGAGAGACAGCAGTGGCAGGCTTGTGCTCTCCGACGTCGAGGAGGCCGCAGTCGCGTTGGTGATGCTGGTGCTGTTGCCGTTTCTCGCGCTACTGTTCTCAGCAGACAACGCACCTTCTTGAATCTCCTGTACCAACCGATGCAGCAGTGAAGGGCTGCATGTTCTCTGGACGTCTGCAGCTTGAAGCGATTTCTGCATCATCTGCAGCACTTGCTGATGGGGTTCAGCCAGCTGGGTCTGTCCCGTGTGCTGCGGTTGCTGCTGCTTCGGCAGCAAATGCATCTCTCCTGCTGCCTTGCCTTGGCACATTTTTGGTTTTTCCAGCGTACATAATATTAAGGCAAGCAGATCATGCAGCTGCTGCAGTCGCTGCTGCTCCCGGTAGACTTTCTCCCTGTCGTACTTTTGCTGCTGCAGCAGCTGCTGCAGTTGCCTCGTCGGGAGAGGCGAGAAAGAGCTGGCTGCCTGCTGAAGTGAAAGCCTCTCTCTAATGAAAGTTGCTTGCTCGTTCATGTGATGCTGCTGCTGGCGCTCCATAGACGTCCTGAGCCATTTCAACTGCCGGACGAGCTGCTGCTTCAGCTGCTGGAGCTGCTGCAGGCATCGATGGTGCTGTTGCAGCACGACGCTTCTGTAACAGTTGGCACAGGGTCGCAAGGCCGCAGCCAGGGCATCAAAGTCCTCCTCATCCAGCCCAGCCAACTGCGCTGCTCTCCGCTGTTGACTGACATAGGACAACCGCACAGGAGAGCCATCAGCGCTTGGGCTGTTGAGAGTTGTTTTATTCGTGATGCCTTCACCCGGAAACCTCGCTTTCCCACCGGCAGCAGCAGTAGCGGCAGCAGCGGCTGCTGCCGAAAATGGGCCGTTTGGTGTATCACCGCATGCGAGGACAGAGAGCAGAAATGCGGCTAAACAATCGGAGGAGGTAAATGCAGAGACGCCCGAGGCAGCATCAAAAGCCGAGAGTATTGGCCAAGTCGTCGGGTGATGCTCAGTTCGGTTTTCAAGCTGAGGACTTTCACTGCTATTTAGTTGGTGCAGTAGCTGATCTACTTGCTGACGTTGCTCAAGTTGTTGCTGCTGCGGCTTCAGTTGCTGGTGTTCCTGATGGGCCTGGGCTTTGTTGGTGCGCGCATAAAGGGACGCAGAAAGGTCCTCTGCAGAAGGCGAATCCCTTACTCTCCTGCAGAAGCCGCAGACTTCGCACAGCGGGGGAGGAGTGCTGCAGGCGTGTCTTTGCAGAGACAGACAAGGCAGGACAGAGAAGCGGAAACGATAGCAGACAGCAGCCACCGACTTAGTATGAGGCAGGAGGAGCACAGGAAAACTGGAAGGAGACAAAATACGCAGCACAAGTTGCTTGTGATTGTTTGCTCTCTGTGCCTCTCCACTTGAATGTTTACAAGGCATATTTTCTGCATTCGCCCGGTAGCACACAATCTGAGCGAGTGTGTGCAAACGCTGACTCTGGCCCGCCGCTGCTTCTAGGGAATTCACATTTGTGGGGGGGAGCTCACTCGCTCAGGCCGTAACATCGCTGACAGATCAAAGGTTCTGAAGAGGCCCGAGGTCGCCCAAACGTGCAACGCAAGTGCAGCAGCGAGCTGCAGCAGCAACAGAGAACCATCTCGTCTACACGCCGCAAACACCCCCGCAGAGAACACACAAAACAAGCTATCGCTTCACGCTTGAAGTGCTGCGTCTCCAGATTTCTGTTTAAGACTAAGGTTTAATAGCGGGGGAGGGGATATATTACCTCCCTGAACGGCCTCTAGGCCACACTGCATGCAACTCGCTTCCCTTATGTGGTGGGCTGCACGAGGCCCTGCTTCTGTAGAACACAACGTACAGACCCTCACCCGAGACCCTACTAGCCATATACTCTGAATCCTGAACGTTAAAGCCCAGGCCCGTAGTGCACTACGTATGNCCGAGACCCTACTAGCCATATACTCTGAATCCTGAACGTTAAAGCCCAGGCCCGTAGTGCACTACGTATGCCCCCCCTGAAGCCCCCCCATACCAACAAGTCGCAACGCCGCCTGGTGCCAAAGGCGCTGTCTCAGTCGCGTGAAGAGTCGGGGGCCCAAATCAGCGAAGAGAAAGTCGCCGGCGTTGACGGCAATACCTGGAATGGAGGTTAGCACCAAGTGTGGCCATCCGTTCACATACACCTGAAACGCCTCACAGTGTAAGCGCAGAATCGAAACGATGACTTGCCGCTTGCAACTCTCCCACTGTCTTACTACAGAGCAAAGCGTGCGGCCCATCCAGGAAAGCTTGGCGTCTTGCCATTGTCAATATACACTGCATACACACAATATATACGCTGCAGCAGCAGTAGACGAAAGGGGACTGACAGTGTGCAACTCGCAGTTTTGTTGAAAAGCGAGGGGTGTGGGGGCATCAAGCCGAGGGACCTCGAAGTGTCGCACTGCTNCTCGCAGTTTTGTTGAAAAGCGAGGGGTGTGGGGGCATCAAGCCGAGGGACCTCGAAGTGTCGCACTGCTGATGCAGGAGCTGAAACTCCGCCTCCCGTTGTGCTGACAGATATGCATAAGCAGTCAGCAGCCGGCAGCAACAGAGGAGACTTCGCTGCTGCTGGTGAAACTCCAGCTCCTATAAACCCCGCTGCGAGAAAGCGGCACGAACCGCAGCAGCAGCAAACGCACCAGAGGACGGCAGACGAATAGCGGCAGGCATCGGCAGTTGGTAGAGCTAAATCCTAACGCGCTCTGGTGTTTGCATTAGGAGGCAAAGGCGAGCCAGTCCCAAGCCACAGCCGTGTAGTACTTGGCTTGAACGTTATTAACGATTGGTGGTCTTTCTAGATTCTCTAAATTTAATATGTACGGAGGGCATAGGGCTACAACCGGGGTTTGGGGGTTTGTCTTGTGGCTCAACACTCAGCGAAAGAAACTCACAAACGATCGCCTCAGGCGCGAAAGAGAGCCCAAAACGAGCTGAATACCGGTCCTCAAAGGCCACCCTTGAGCTCAGCTCCACCCGCCCAGAAATTTGGCCCAACACCACTGGCACCTGTACGCAGACGCAGTGGCAGATCCTGCAGCTTACGTCCAGCGCGTTGAAGTGCTGCAGGTCGGTAGGAAGAAGGACGACAATAGACAGACCCGGAAGCACAAAAGATAAAACAACGCATGAAGGAAATACAAGCTGAAGAAGTCAAAGGCAAAGAAAATAAGACACAAATGCCACTAAAGACAGATAAGCCTAAGGACAACGAAAAATAAGACACCTTGTGAGATGCAGGGATAGGTTGGGAGCCCTCGCGGAGTCGACTAGCGTAAGCAGTTTCGTTGCATGGCGTTCCGAGCCTTAAAGGGTGCTGTGGATCCGCTACTTCCACGCACTCCACAATGCGGCCAACAGATGAGCCAGCTGCATTTGCTGCTGCTGCTGCTGCATCGGCTTGAGGCTCCCTGGTTGCTACTGTCGGCTCGACTTGGCTCGGGCTGCAGAGACACAGCAACAAATCTACCAAGAGTGAACGGCCTCCTTCTGCAGAGTATCTAGTATCGTTTTGTGCAACGTCTTCCTGTGGTGCTGCTGCGTTGGAATTTGCTGTTGCCGCGCATTGTTGTTGCTTTAAGCGCGAGGCGTGTGCCGTTTCCTCAGCAGCTGCAGCAGCAGCTGCTGAGGAAACGGCACACGCAGCTGCAGCAGCAGATGCGCCACGGTCTGAAGAAAATACATCCAAAGGCACGCGTCTTGTCTCCACAGCTTCTGCAAGTGTTTCATGGGCTTCGTCCGAAGGCAGCTGCTGCAGGCTGCAGTCTCCTGATGCACCAAAAGCCATGGGACTAGAGGGGGCGATCGCCGCAGGTTGATCGCCGCAAGCAACGCCCCCAAAAGAGGCCAATCGAGCATCTGTTCGACTTTCCTTGACTGCAGAACACGCATTGTTGTAACTCTCCACCTGCCACGTGCGCTTTTGCTGCATCTGCTCCCACGCTTGCCGCTGCTGCTGCTGCATATTGTGGG